ATGCTTGAAACTAAAATAATAGAGAGCAGAATTTTATTTTACTGTTGTTGAATATTTGATATTTGCAACTAAATATATTAACTTAAAAACTTTGCAATTAATATTATTTTTATTTTAAATGGGAAAATTTACAAATTCATATTTAATTGTTAATAATATAAACATAAATTTAAATTATAGCCAAGCTAAAATGTTTCCAGCCTCCAGATTTATAGCATTTCCTTCGCTTCATCCGTCAATTTACTACTTCTGTGTCTGCATTCTAATTATCGGAGCTAATCAAAAAGGACAAATTCATCTTGTAATCTGAGTGATCTTCACTTTACAGCATCTCAGGGTCAAATCTAGATTTGGGCGCATAATGCGAGATTGTGCGCGGTTGGGATTTGATCGAAATTGGAGTTGGAACGCCCGATTTGAGGCTTAATTGGCCACTCAATTAGAGGTTTGGGTTTCTTGCGAGCGAGCGAGCGAGCGAGTGAGGTGGTGGCGTGTTCTTTTTATCATTAATAGCTCCGTTTTATTCAGCATCGAGTCTCTCTCTCGAAAACACTCTTCGCAGCTCTCAGCAGGTTTATGGAGGTTCAGTGCACTTTTCACTCGCCGCGCGCAGTTGCAGCAGCCGAGAGATGGATTTATATGTGCGGAGGGCAGAATGTGGCGTGTACAGGCGCGCGCACACAGAGGTGTTGTAAACTACATCTCTATACAATCTACCATCTATTTATCCTGCTAGTTCGCCTTTTAAACGGCTCCAGCCACCGAGCCAAACAAAGAAAAAGACCTGTTGGAATTCGCTCGACGCGAATCTGTGCCAGTCAAATAATTGCCAATTTGCTAAAATTTTAATACAAAATCAAAAGTTTCAACAAATATATGCTTACAACAGAATAAAGTCCTAGATTTGCAAAAAATTTTTCAAACAAAAGCTTGACTACTCCCTTGAAATTAATAAATCAAGAAAATTGGAAAGATTTCAATATTTTAACATTTTTTTTTTAATGGCTTTTGGCTATCGGTCAATGTAGATGAATTTTAATCAAAATATTTTAGTAATTTTTAGTTCATACCAAACCTTAACTTTACTAATAAAGAAAGTAAAATTTAAGTTGAATAAAAACAATTAATTCTTCTTTTGTATTCCTTTTGTATTGATATCATGAAGATCCAATTAGCATTTTAAACAAATTTATTCTCTTCACGTGATCAAGTTTTTATTAATCGACGTTATCCGCTTCTTGATCTACACGCATAAACTTTCAACAAAGAGGAAACAGGTGTCCAAATCCTGAGGGTAGGCAACCCCGCCGGGCACTCGAGACTGTCAAGGTCAACGGATCTTTCCCGCAAATATTAAAATGCTCAATTTTAATTCTTTAAAATGTGTCCAGATCTAAATTTAAAGAAAAATGTATTGCTATGAAAACTTCAATATCATTTCTCAAACTTTTCCCATAACCATAAATTTTAGATGTTGACTGAACTATTGATGTAATTTTTCCATTAAATTGGAGTGATATGAACGTGATTTGATAAATTTTGTATCAATTTTGGTCGGGCTAATTTTAAGAGAAAAATTATTTTAGAAAATTCTTGAAATAAATAATTATTAAATACCAAATGACTTAATTAAAAATTTGATATTATGACAAAAAATGGAATTTTAACATTATTTGCTATATTTTAAAACTTTTGATTTTAATTAATTGCCTTCTAAATTTGACAAAATGCAAAATTCTCGAATAATTTTCGTTTAATTGAAGCAAAAATGTGTGCTTTAATGTGATCGTGATGCAGTTTGCATGGATTAACGAGGAAAGGGGTAGCCCAGTTGCCCTGTGGGCGAGTGCGTTGCCTCCTTCGCCTACATACGCGCGCGCGAGAGGCAACTAGCAGCGTTTAGAAAAAAAAGCACACACAAGGTATGCGAGAGCACCATAAAATATACATACACACATGTTCAAGACCAGATTCATTAACTGATACTTTATTATTGTAGAAAGTGCTGCAGGGAAAAGAAGGAGGACAAGTCCGAGTGCCGCGCCGCCGAGAGTGACCAGCGCGCGCTAAGCTCTCTTCCTATAATTCCTGCTGCAGTCGCACCAGATAAACCGATCAAGTCGGCCGCGTCGGCTTGCATTATGCATATTCGAATGCGCACCAACTTTTCTCGCTCTCGACACTTGCATGCGATGTTTAGCGTGTCTATTTGTAATTGTCAGATTTCAATTTATGGCCGAACGACTCTCCAACACGACGAAAACTATAGAGTGAGGGCGAGTGCAGGGCAGAATGATTCAAAAGTATAAATATTCTATTCTAATTTTGAGATTAATTAAAATTGAAAAAAAATGATCCAAAAGAATATCGTTTTTAATATTCTATTGAAAATAAAAACTTGTTAAATCCAAGCAACAAATTTTTCCTGCCGAGCGGACGACATGAAAAAGTCCTTAATTTTGGAAGTGCCGCTCGCGCAGGATTGAGTTTAAACCTAAATCACTGATTTAATCCTAAAATTTAAGTAGAAAATCCGTCTGATGAAAAAATAAAGCGGCGCCGAGAAAAGAAAATTTGAAAGCGGGCGCTTTTAAAATCGTCGTCTTTTCGAGTTTCTGATGAAATCAGACGTTCATGAAGCAAATTTTTCCTGCATGCATCTCGGGCAGGATTGAGTTTAAACCTCAATTACAGATTTTATCCCTAAATTTAAGTTAGTATTAAATAATTATATATTATTGTTTTTCATATTAGCAGTCCAGCTTCTTACTTTTTTTGATCATTTTCCAAAATTTGTCCAATTAACACAAAAACATCTTCGAATTTAACAACGCTTGCAGATTCCGATCCACTTATTCCAGATTGATTTACAACACCTCTCGTCGCCAAAGCCAACTGCGGATGGTATATATTTGCGTGTGCCAATTAACACTTATCCGCCATTCATCAATAATTCCCTTATAAAGGCATATGAATGTGTCCCGCGGCTACAAAAGAAAGTTTTCCTCGGCGCTACTCGCGATTGCGCCGCGGGTCTGTTGATTGAAATTAATGCATGCGCCGCGCGCGCAAGGTTGCTTTTATTATTGTCTCGTTGACGCGCGGACCTTGCTCGGGGCCCTTGTCTGGCCGTGCAGAGGAGAGACTCGCGTCATCAGTCATTATAGGCGCTTTTTTGGTTAACAAATAATTCGGAGCCGTCGGGCCAGATTAGCTGGGCGGTCCTTCGTGCATCTCGCATGTCAAAGGAGGTGTGATCTTTGAACGCGATGGGCCTGTCACTACAAATTAGTAGGCATGTCCTTTTTATTTCCAGCTTTTTCCATCCAACAAAAGAGGCTTAATGTGACTTTTATTAGATACAATAAATTGATATTTTTCATTTCAAATCACTCAAAATCATTTACTTTTTTTATGAAACAATAAAAGAAATTAATTAATTTATCAAGTTTTTTAAAGAGTCGATTTTATATTAAAATTACTTCAGATTTTTTATGTTCATTTAAGCAAATCAATTTTTAACTCAATAATTTGATACTATTTAATTAAAAACAGAGTTATATAAAATAACCGTAACAGCTGAAAAATTATTATTTCGGACAGGTTGAATGATCCAATTAATAACACAGGCGATTAAGAGCGTCAATGAGTGCGGCAAGATTGACGAGAGTTCATCAACATTTTCAGCTCATCAATTCACCGGCGCATTCAACGCAGCCTTTACCGGCCTTATCGGTCGGCTCGATCTTTATACTGGTTACTTTTCACGCGCGCACAGGCAACAGGTGTCCGCGCTCCTGAGGGTAGGCAACCCCGCTCTCAAGTGTGCGTTGCGTGCAAACGGATGTAATGGAACAGCAGCGGATTATAACGTTCACCCCCTTAAAAAAAATATAAATATGTCAAAAAATACAAGTTTACGTAAAGAAAGAAAATTCACAGTTAAAAAAATTAAGAAAATTTTTGTTGAAGAATTTATTTAATATAAGAATATTGAATATTTGTTTAGAAAGGTTTAAAAAGAAGGGCTTCTGAACGAGTGTTTTTCTAGAATATTAAAAACAAGGAATAAGCTACAGGTGGCTTATCAGAGGTGAATAAAATATGAAAAAGTTTCCAATAGTTTCTGGCTCATTTTTTGCCAAATTTTCATGTAAACTTGATTTGATAGAAATTTTATGAATTTAGTTCAATTTGGAAAAGAATATTTTGGAAAATTCTTGTTGCCCGAAACAAGCAATATAAAATTTTTTAAAAGATTAATCATTTTGTCAGTTTTAGCCTGCAATACTCGTCTATAGAAATGAAGGAAACGTGGAACTTGAGAAATTTATAGCATAAATGTTCAGAACTTTACTTTTTATTTCGGCATTTTTTTATTTAAAAATTTCAACTTGTAATAAATAAATTTTAAAAAAAAGGAACAACAATTCGGAAGCAACTTAAAATTTGGTGCTAAAATAACCATTTCTCCTTGCATGTCCGTTTCTAACTTTCCAAAACATTCAGCAGATTTAAAGCTGGATCAATTTATACAGTAAATTTTCTTTTAATTTTACCTTTTAGATCTTTTTAAGTCTAAGCATTTCATAGATTTATTAATAATTATAAGAAATTTAAAAGTTTGTGCAAAAAATGTCAGTTTTCATAGCGTGTCGGTTGGCAAAGCGATATCAAAAGTTTTGATGGATGTAAAAGAGAGGAAGCGCGGCGGCGGTGCTGCTCGGCGGAGCGGCGGCCGCGGTCTGACAACAACAGGTGGCCCATCCGCCGCCGCCCTCACCTGGCTGCGGCGTCGGCGGCCGGAGGGGAGGCGCCGCAGGGACGGATTCGGCGACGAATTCGGCCGCGGGCCAACCTGCAGATCGGAGGTGGGTGCGAAACGGCGCTGCCTCCCACTCTGCGCACCAAACTCCACCTCTCGCGCGGCGTCGAACCTGCGGTGTGTGTCCGTCGGACGCCGCTTATTTTCTCTCCACTTCACTCTATTTCGTAGCCGCAGGAGCGAAACACCGAGCGAGGTCCACGTCCACGCACGGATTGCTGCTGCAGCTCTCTTTGTCAGACCGTCCCAGTTTTGTGCGCAACCCGCTTCAATTCTGCGACATGGGTGCCCTCGAGTGACCTCCGAGAGTGCGTTCGTTTCCCTTGACTAAAAGTGCGCGCGCGGTTTTGTGTCCCCAGTTGCAGTGACCGACGACACCATTAGTCACCAGTATTTCAGCCTTTCCTCTGACATAGGTAAGTCTCAGTTTGTTTTCCCCTCAAATTTGGTGCGAAATTCTTCCTGGAGACTTTAATGACCGACTTACTAGGGCTGTAAAGGGAAAAAATTTAATTTACTCAATCAAAGATGAATTTTCATACCTGTTGAAAAATAAATCCAACGTCGGTTATAAGATTTAATTTTATAATTCATTAAGTATGAGAAAATAAACCTCAAATTTTGACTTTAAACAAATTTTGTACCTGGAAACTTCATCAAAAAATCTTCGGTTTTAAAAGTTTTACAAAACTGCAAGTTAAATTTTCATCATTTTTTTTTTTTTGCATTTAAAATTATATTTTTATTTTCTTTTGCTATTGAACCAATTTTTGCGATAAAGTGTTTCATTACAAACATCTTTGATGCGATTCATTGATAATTGAAAATAGTCTCGATTACACTTTACAGCCCGAAGCTTTAATCTCCACTTTTATATACAATTGTGGTTTGCCTGCTTGTTTATGTATACATTTTGTATTCAATATGTATAAGTGCCTGAATGTGTGTGTAAACGAGACGACGCGCGGTGTGTGCCCTAAGGGTTCGTTGTAAGAGCAGTTGATTCTCATTCATTCATGCTTTGGTCTCTTGAAAAACCTGCTACTCTTATATACTTGACTAGCTGCTTTTTTTACCAGCACCGCGTCCGTATTGTATAACAAATCGGCGAAAGAAATTAAGAGTTGCGAGTTAATTTCTCTCAGATATACACATTATTTGATGCAACCGTTGCTACACGCGCGCGGCACTTTATTCCTAACACCGCGCATTAGACTGCAGTTCCTGTTTCGTCAAAACGTGAAGGGTTTCAACCTGCGCGCTCTCGAGAGGGATTCATAATCGGCGTGAATTTTATATAAGAAATGGCTTGTTCTTCTTTTGAAATGCTGAAATCGCCAACCGAAATTTTCAATCACCTGCACCTATTGTGATGTGAAAGGAGCAAAAAACTTTTAAAACGGACAAAGTCAAATGACAGTTTAATGGGCTATAAAGAGCGAAATAAAATCATTTATACACTTTCTACACTGAAATGTTGCAAAATCTCACTTGAAAAAAACGGCACTTTTAATTTTTATTTGTGTGTGTTTTGGGAATTTGGAAAATTTAATTCATGGTAGAACTGAATTTTCGAAAATTAATGTTGCATCTTGCAAGTTTGCTTGCATAAAGTTTTTACTTTCCATGAAAATAGTTTTAGCCTTTCTGTTTGTGCAATTGATGATTATATTTTCCTGACGTGTGCAATTTAATAGACTCTATAATTTCCCATTCAATTTAATTGTCGGTTTACACATGAGTTTTTCGATTGCTCATTGTAATCGTCTCGTAATGGTACGTTATTATATTTCGAGAGAGCCGAGAGAAAGATATCTCAATTCCACCGATTAAAGCCAATAAATCAATCAGCGGCGCCGAATTCCTCTCTCGATCGCGGGCGGTAAATTTTTCTTTCTCTCCGGAGTAAAAAAAATTGGCGTGCGCCGCGTTCGACGGGAAATCTATAATTCCGGCGTCGCTAAATGGCAATTAAGAAGAATTTTTTCAAGTTGGAAAAGAAGGGTTATCAGCAACCGGTATCTGGACTGACAGAACAATTTGACAGATCTAAAGCGCGGCGTTTATTGTACACCAAACACAATTTGGTCCGAGACACGAGAGAGAGAGAGAAAAGCCAATGACTTTTCGATCGGAATCGCCGCCGCGGCAAAATATGCTCTCAGCAATAACAATGCGAGGTGCATCAGCGGGGCCCGGTCATGTGCGTGATGCTCACTCGATTTTTGATTTCTCATTTCCAGAACAATGCCCGGCTCGATACATAATGCAGCCTTCTTCGTGTGCCGGAGAATTAAAATCTGTGGGCCATTTTCAAATACGAAAAATAAAGCAGAGCTAACAATGGTCAGCAAGTCAGATGTTGTCAATTCGTTGGAAAAACTTCATGAGACGTGCTCTGCTTAAATATAAAATGTAATTGAAATTAATTCAAATTTTATAATAATTATAAATATGCTTAAAATATTTTTTTAAAATTGGGATATTTTTCTGTTTATTTTGATTTTTGAGACATGAATTGAACAATTACATGGGAAATTGACCAAAACTAACCATAAAAATAAAACCTTTGAAAATAATTATTTCGAATCAGTTTTGGTTGAAAATTTTTAACCAATATTTTCGTTTCATATTTCCTGTACATTTTAAATAAATGTTTGATTTGATTAAATTATCTGTGAAGCTTAAAATAATGCAATCAAACAAAGAAGAAAATCAAATCAGAAACGTTTTCTTGACGTTTCAGGCTGGGTTTTTCTGTCATATGCAGTTATCGAAATTAAATTTAAAGCGAAAATCAAAGATATCATAATAATCTGTTTGAAATTGGTTTAAATTTTACAAATTCAAAGTTATTTTAACAAAAATCATAACAAATTGTTAATATTCTTTTGTGAAAAACAACATATTCAAGACCAGGAAATTATACAATAAATGAGCCCTCTCGAATTAAATAGATTTTTATTAAGTCCAGAGCAGGGTTGAAGAGTCGATGACCTGCTCTTTTTATTATTTATTTGCTCTGCAGCCGCGCATTAAGCATTCTAATTTATAGAGACCAATTCTAGAAAAACTAATCACCGAATTCCAGGAGAGATTCTTATGCCCACTTTGGAATTTGGAAAGTCAAATGAACACATAAAAAGCGCCCTTGTGTGTGCTTTGCCTTTTTATTGGCCACATTAGTGCGCCGCGCGAGAGCGCATGATTTTTGAAAACGCGCAGAGAGGAAAATAAACTAGTTTCGTCGTGTGTGTTCCTCCGAACTGATTTACTATTACGGCCGCGGCCGCTTCTTTTTTTAATGCTGCATCATTCAATAATAAATAAATTTTATTTATATGCGCCACTCTCAAAAGTGTATAGAATTTTATTTACTTATTTTCTAACCGATTTATATATAAAGTGAACTGTGGCGTCATTTCCAGTGAACTTTGTATTTTTTTCCCAATCGTGTGAAAAGAGAGGAGGCAGATGGCGACTAACAAGTCGAGGCTAATTACGTGCCTGTATAACTTTTATATTTATTATATATTTATTCCGAGAGAGATCGAGAGCTGCAGAGTGGAAAAATGCACACAAGAGATTCTCGGATGCATTCCGTGTGTGCTGAAAAATGAGGAGATTCTTCTTGAGTTGGATTTTTTTTATATAATACACTCCTTTTTTTAGAGCAAAAGAAGGTTGTGTGGAAATGGCATTGGACGGCAGTTTCATCTGGTAATCTAGTTTAACGCGCTGATTCTCAGAAAATACGGAGATGATCGGAGAGGCTAAAATTACTTATAGGAGACGAACACACATGTTCAAATGGGAAAGCTGGAAACCTAAAGAGTTAATAGCCGTGTAGCTTTTATTTTTAATTATCAATAATCCAGGATTTAATTCATGTGAGAGAGAATTTGAAAAAAAAAGTAATTTTTTGTTCAATTATTTGTAATTTAAAAATTGTTAAAAATTAACAAAATTAAAAAGACCGCTTGGATAAATTGACCTAAATACTTGATTCAAAATTTAATTCAAATTAGAGTTCAAAAATTTCAATCAAAATCAATGTTTCCTCATCAGTCAGAGGAAAGCGTCCAATAATACCTAAGTAGTGCGTAAAATTATTGACCTTGTCTAATTTCACGTGAGATGAATGAGACAGTCTCTCTCTCTCTCCCTCCGACAAAGCAGTCGCCCGGAGCAATTCTCTCTTTCTCGTTACACTAAAAAGGATGCGCGACAAAAAAATTCAAACACAAATTTCCATGGCATACAATAAATTTAATTGAAACATCTGAGGCGACGCTTTGCTTCTCAGATGGAAAGAATTGCCTGCCGGGCACACCTTTGGAGATCTTTCGCTTAGGGCGTTGCCTCGGAGATTTGCTGTGAAATCGCTGCAACAACGTTCGTCGTAATCCCCGGCAGCTCTAGCACGAGAGATACATATTTATTTATATATAAAGTGCGCGCGCGAGAGTGTGTGTGTGTGTGTTTTTATGTATATTGATATCGGCGAGATTTATACATGCACTACCTTAGAGCACCGCGCTGCACTACAATACACATAAATTACCGCTCGATCTCTTCTAACTCGGCAATGCAAGCGCGAATAATAAAAATTGGACTTCTTTCCTTGGCCTGCTCGTACGTATAATGTATGCGTGGAGATTTCGAATTATGAGCAGAGCTTACTTTCCAACCGCTCTTATTTATAATTATTGTTGCATTCATGGGTTGGTCAACAGCTGTTTTTATTGTTTCATAACTGCGGCGATTCATTTTTTCCAGATAAACGAGCGAATTAAGTCTTTTTATCTGATGAAAGGCGCTTCGAATCGTAATCCGCCCGGATTTTATAAGGTTGATCAACTTTTTTACACACAAAAAATAAAGTGTTCCTCCGACTCTCGGTATAGGTGGCGTGCAATTAATTTCAATTTCAATGAGTAATTTGTTGAGAATAGCAGCTCGTTTGTCAGCCTGTTTTCATGCCTTGGGGCGTTTTAGGCAATTCCCTTAGAAGATCTCCAGCAGCTGTTGTGATTTATAAACAGTTCTTGTGCTTTATGTAGCTGCACTGCACGTTACACCCAAGTCAGAATTGCAGAACATGCATCTCAGTCAGGAAGAATATCTGATACAATTATATGATTTCTGATAAGAAGATGCAGGAAGCTGTGGTTTTAAATTAATCCTCAAAATAAAAAGAAGTAGAATAATTTTTAAATTTGGCACCGAGTCTCAATATAATATTTATTGAAATGCATATTAATAAAAATTTAAAAAAATGAATTTAAATCAAATGGTTTTTTTTTTAAATAAGAAAATACTAATATCTTTTCTAATTATTTCTTTTCAAACAACAATCCTTATTTAAATCTTGTTTACTCTACATTGAACCCAATTTTTATTAAAATTGATCATTTTTACTCATTCCTTTTTGTTCACTCGCAATCAAATGAGTAAATTGCTTTGAATACCGTTTAGGCTTGGAACAACCTTATTCCTGATCTTTTTATTTTACTACAAATCCAACTTTCCAACTGCAGCGACCACCCCGCCCACGCAATATCTCTCTTTGTACAAGAAACTGTGTTTTATATATTTATATCGTCGCGATCTCGACCGCCGCGCCCACCCGAACGCATAATTTTATGCCACACATTTTATCCATGCCAGCAGCGAGTTGTGCATCGTCGGCGGGACAAATTTAATGCACCTCTCTCAGTGATGTAATTCGAGTACGCCGGCGCGAGCGCAACATACACTTGCAATTGTCCTACATCAATGGCGAAAATAAACAAACAAATAAATATCAAGTGTGTGTGATTTGTGAGAAGCAAGAAATCATGTTTGGAGCTGCACGACTCGTCTCGGAATCAAACGCTGAACATTTCTCTTACTTACAAACCTATGTGTTTGTTTTTATTTCTCTCGCGCCGAGGCAACTTTTCACTTTGGCTATATATGCGGCGCGCGGCGACTATCATTATAAATAAGAGAAACACATAACTAATGTCCATCATGCAATCCTGCACTTAATAGTCAAAGTAGATTATCGACTTATTCCGGTTTAGTGCAAGTGAATTATTTATATACAGAGAGAGAGAGAATTAAAGAGAGCAGAAAAAGACGACGGCCGCGGCCAGATTGCAACACTCACGATCTGATAGATGAGCAGCACTTTTTGACCACTCGCTGGGTTGAAATTTGAGACTCATGGCAGGCCTGAAAAAAAAGAATAAGCACCTTTTACATTGATTCTGAAAGAGGAAAAAAACATGAATAAGTTTAAAATATTAATAAAGAATTAATAAAGATCAATATAGGAGCCTCTATATTTATTTATAAATTAAGCAAAAAGTACAATAATTAACTTGAAGTAAATTAAAATATTTGATATTTGTAAATAGTTTTACAGTTGAATCAGGATTTTATTACACAATTTTTTCTAAATATGTATCAAAAAATTGTTTAATAGGCTTTCAGTCGGCACCTCCCATGTTTTTTTTATCCTCCTAATGAAAACAATGGGCCGACCTCTGGGAATCGCGGAAATTCATGTCGAAAATTCGCTCTCGCTGCATTCGTGGAATGCAAACTGCACGCGTATGAATCGGTTTGTGACATCAAATTACAAAGCTGACGTGTTTTATTTATGTCATTCGAAGCTCATCTTTCTGCGGAATTGCGTGCAGCACCCAATTGAAAAGGCCCAATTAGCAAGATCGTTATCTGCAAACGGTTTTACTTGCTTTCCTGAACCGGTTTATTGAAACTAAACCGATTTACAAACACAATTTTATTCAATTTATGCAATTTGGTGGTCACCTTTGTCTTGCCGGTTGCATCGCTTCGATAATATATGTGAAATTATTGTTATTTTTCACGATCTTTTCTTTCCTAAAACAAAACAAAAAACTACAATCTTATTTATTAAAATGAATATTGGAATTTATAAAAGGGATAAATTCAGTTTGTATAAATAAGAATCTTGAACCTCCTCTGAAAATATCAGAGATGCATCTCTTTTTTTTCTCTTTCCGACTCGCATATCTCTCGAGTCTCACACTGAACTGCGGGTCGTGTGCAGTTTTTTATTTCGGCGGCGAGGACCGCCGCCGCGATATTTGATTTCCCTCGATTTATCTACGGATCGGTCGGCGCGGTGCGGCATTAAAAAGTCGTGAAAAAAGGTAGACGCCTGGCTCTTGAGGGCACAAAATGATGCCGTTTATCCGGCCCGTATAATTTTTTCTTTAAACATATCAATCAATGTGTGTGGAAAAATCACGACCGTGTTTGAGTCGAAATTATCATGCGCCGTAATCATCATCATCAGCATCATGCGCTCCGATGTTGGTGATCCAGATGAGTAAAAGTAAATACACGGCCCTGATCGCCATTTCACAAAATCCCAAAATATATACATAATAATAATTCAATTTGGTTTGCGGCAAAATATTTAAAAAATGGGAGAAATTGTTAACTAAATTTGCTGTCTTTGATAAAAAAATTTGAATTTATATCTAATTAAATTAAATTTTATAGAATAGATCAGATTTTGAAACTGAACCCATTTGATAGAAATCTTAAGTTGATCAATACTTTTGTAACCAAATTTTGTGGATTATTTTTTTGTATTTTCTCACTTTGGAATTTAGCCTTTTGTAATGAAAGGTGGCGTTGCGTCAAAATAATACAGTTATAAAGGTGCTGATCGTTTAGCGGCCAATTATTTTCAAATTTGCTGCAATTCGCTCCACGCGCACCCCCGTGTGTCGCGAGGGGTGAAACAACGGCAACTTTTCCCTTTGGAGGGGACGCAGGTGTCGCAAAAAATGACGAAAATTACCACATTTCCAGGCATCTGCTGACAACTTTTGTCAGATGGCAGGCGCATTTCGCGTGATTGCAAGTGCAGCGCTCATTTTTCGGTGCATTATTTCAATTTCCACACCGCGCACCTTTCATATTTTTAGGGGGTGCAGCGTGAAATTGAGACCAACCTTAAAGATGTTCTCGGCGCGAGAAAAGATGTGGCAAGACAGCTGCGGTGGCTAATTAGGAGCGAGAAAATTATTATATTGTGTGTTTGTGTGTTTATTATTGAAAGAATACAACATGCTCTTATCTGCGGAGAGAGATCTACTTTTTCCGCACTAAAAACTTTTCGCTGCTGCCGCCGGTATAGCGCATTCTAATTTATGCTGCTCGTTTTCGCCGCAGTTGTTTGAGTCCGATTCGCTTTTGTGGAGACGCTTAATTCGACACAGCGAGATTGTACGTGTGATGTGTTTAATTGCGAGCCCGAGATGGCGTCGAGCGATAGACAAAAGAAATGCGTAGATGCAGCGCCAAATGACTTTTTCACGCGTGCCGCTGATTAATTGCAACAACTTTTTCTCTCCTAGTTAAATTTTTAATTAATGGAAGGAAAATAATTAAAATTTATATATATATATCATTTTTTCCAGTTTTTTGCTGCATCCATAATTCTTAATTAATCGGCCAAATGAGAATTAATTTTTTATAATGATTTGATATTTAAGTGTGCTAAAAACTTATTGATTTACAGTTAAGAGAGTAAATTCTCAATTATTTGTTGGTACAGTTATAAATTTTATCGGAAGTCTTATCTATTAAATTTGTTAATTAAATTTTTTACCAAATAAGTTTCTTTGGCTGAAACTTGATCCAGAATAAACAACGTTTGAAGCACGCAATTTGTCCAACTTTATAACCGCTCGAAATTAATTATTTTCAACGTGAAAGCTCTTTTGATGTTACACACACGAAGCCCATCATCATCTCTCAGCATGCGGGAAAATATTCAAAAAGAGGAGAGAGAAGAAGTTTCGTGCTTGGAGAGCGGCAAAGAGAGTTTTCATCTCTCTCTCGCTCTGCGCGGTAATTACACGGCCTCTAAATAAATGAACGGCTCCCTAATTGACCAGTGTGTTACAAATTACTGTTGCAGCCACCAAAGCCACAAAATATATTAATTAATGTGGCAGGTGTAATACAACCATGTAAAGTGATGAAAGAATCGGGCAAATTAAACCGTGCTGAGGTTTCTCATTTCCGAAAGAATAAAAATATAAAAATTACACCGGGAAATGAATTAAATATCGGTTTATTTCTGATTGAATGGTTTTACGACCTGCGATATAAAAATATTCTTTTAAGGTAATTTTGGTGTGTGAAAATGTATAAAAGTTTTCCCGCTTTATTTCTCTCTCTTTCTTTCTTGTTGCACTTGTAAAAACTGGAAGCGACACGTTGTACATGGCGCCTTTTTGCAGCTTTCAGGCGGAATGATCAGCATGGAATTAGCACCGTCTCATGGTAATGTGCACTCACTGGTCACCGGTCACCATCACGGATCACTCCAGTTGCACTCGCTAGACTCGTCCGACTATGACTCGAAGGAGTCCATCTCCTCCCAGAGTAAGTCTCGAGACAGAGCAAACCGGCGCGGCATTTCAGATGGAAAAAAAATTGCACTTAATCACTGTAAATATGCACGAGTCTGAAAATGCCATTCAGTTGCTTTGGGGTTGAGAATTAACACACAAACGACAATTAAAAGCATGCTTTAGCAATATGAATAGTTAATATTTTAATTTATTTTTTTTTAACCAAATTTAATATTCAGATCAAATTTAAAAAAATCTTTCAATCTTTAATCAAGAATAAATAATTAAAATATTGTTTTAATTGAACAATCTAAAAATCAATCTTATAAAAAATGATAAAAGTTTTATAAAACAAAAAAGTGAATAATTTAAAGTTATTGAATACTTTAAAATAATCTCATAAAATTACTAAATTTAATTCAATTTTATTACTTTTTTTTTCATTGAGGACGCATTTTATTTAATAATTAAGATATTATTAATAAGAAAATTATTTAAACAATGAAATAATTTCAAAATATAATTAATTTCAATTAAACTTTTGAAAGGAGAATTGCCACTTTGCAAAGACCTTCACAGGTTCTCCTTTTATTTTAACTAACCTTCAAAACGGCAGTTGAGGAAATTTAAAGGGCACACCACTTAATTGCACGTGTGCTTGGTGTTTAAATTTATGATAAAAATCGTCCCCTAGCCGAGGAGTAACATCTGAAGAAGTTCGTTGCTTGCTCTCCTTTTTCTTTAACGTAACGAAACGCGGGCCCATATGTTGACGGAATCCGTTGGTGCTCTGCTATGTTACATGTGTGCGTCCATTAGCGGGGCGAGTACAACGTCAGGTGCATTCCGTGCGCCGCGTTTTAAATCGCCCGGCTGTTCGTAGGAATAAAGAAAAAGGAACATCGGCGCGGCCGAGATTTAATGCGCGCCGAAGAAATGCACCTGCCGCGTCCATACACTATAAATTATACAATTTACTTTGTGTATATTGAGGAGAGGAACCTCTTTGGCTCTCTCGTTATTAAGTAATATTATGCGCTCGTGCATGTGCAGGGTAACCCTTTGGCATTCCACGGAATATAATTGCATTATTGTCTTTTTTTAGAGAAAGAAAGAAAGAAAGATCAAACAAAAGGTTAAGTCAAGAGTCGGATAATTTATTAAATTTTTCTTTTAATCATTAAGTTGGAAAATCAATGGAATCTTCTTGTTTTTTGCAGAGGAGGGCAGCCATGGGATGGGACCCGAAGGTAAGTCCAACAACAAGTTTTTATCTTAATTAATTAACCTAAAAAAAGGGAAAATTTCACTGGTTTTTAAATGAATAATATTAAAATTTTTATAAAATTCCAATTTATAAGTCATTTATTTATAACTTGAATTATATTATTAAAATAATTATTCATTTTAAATAATAAATTGTTTAGCAGCTAAAAATCCATATTTGTTTCTGAATTCACTATATTAAAGTAAATGTTTGAAACTTATTAGACTCTTATGAAGAATTTAAAATTTAAATCTAAAATTTTTAAATCATTCTGGAAAACCTGCCTCAAAACTAATTCCTCCTGCGCTTAATTAAGAACAATTAAATTGCGAAACGTCGCCGCGGTTCAAGATTAATCTCGGGCGCGCGCGTAAGAAAATATTACTCATTCACTCGCAACCGTCAAAACAAAGAACTTGGCCGTGGCTCTGCACTTTTATTTTCTTGCAATTAAATTGCCTCCGCGCAGTGAGAAAATCTCCCGGCCTCACCTCGCGCGAAGGCCTTCTTATATAAGCAAATATGTCGCCTCTTTGTTTTCGTGGGAAACTCGGCTGCTTGAGCAAGTAAATAAAATTACAAACGCTCCGCGTTATTTCACCAGCGCAGTTTCGTTTTCTTCCAGACATTTAAAAATATTAAATAATGCCAGCAACGGACTTTTATTCTAGGAAAGATAATCAGCCCTTTAAAAGCATTTAAACTTATTAGCGGGGCGGATGGACAGCAGTTGGGCGCGAACGTTACAACGAGCAGAATTTAAATAATAAAAAGAGGAAGAATGTGTGAGAGCGGCGTACGGGGGAGCTCCACTTTCAGAAAGACATGCACTTGTTTCGAATTATCTCCGCGGCTAGGTGTGTAACGGCCGCGCCATATGTGACGGAAGTCGCCTCCGCACGCCAAAGCAGGCATCACTTGCAGGGCTTTAACTGACATCAAGAAGGTCCGTGTCAGGAAGCACCGAATTCCGTAACAGGCGTTTTTCTCGTAATTGATTAGCTTCACCACAGAGGATGTTGCAAAAAAATGTCAATTCTTCCAAAATAATTAAATTGAAAAGAGGAAAAAAAACTAAAGAAAGCAGTGGACATTTTTTTCTTAAATCTGTTGCAAGTTAAAAAGCATAAAATTTTTTCTGTAACGGTTAATATTGAGTTAGAAATTAGATTTTAAATTAAATGAATTCTGGACATTTAAGAAAAAAATCAAAATTTTCAAGGTGTACGAGCAAAAAGAGATTGATGTATTCCCGCGGTTTGTATAAATTGACAAAAAATAGCAAAATTCGCCACTGGGTGACCGCGGATGGTGAGAAAACGATCATTTGTCCGTCCATCCGTCGTCATCTCGTCTTTTCGTTCGATCAATCGCGGCGGCTTGGGAGACACTCCTCGATCACCGTGAATGTGGAGCACAGGAAATTGAGGTTAAACACAATTTAGGTGGAAAAAAGAGCGAGCTACAGAGAAGAAGTGCAGCCCCATTGTTGCCGAAGCGTCGGCGAAATTAACTGTTAAACTGCACCAGCACAGTTAAATCTCTTCTCTTAGACACGCGGCCAGAGGAAAATTTGGTGTAAAAATGACAAAAGCGAGCAGCAGTGAAAGAGTTGCAAGAAAAAGAGATTGTGCAGTGGCGGAAGCACATTGATCGTGGCTGGCTCACTTCGCAATGTGTATATCAAAAATCAGAAAAATTATTTCTTGTTTTGACTAAATATCAAAGAATTATGATAAAATGTTTAAAATTGCTCCGAAAGTGGCTACAATTTTTATTGTTTTTTACCTATTTTCAATTTAAAATGAAAACGATTGCAATTTTGAGACCAAAATTTTTGTTTGCAAGTTCCTCAACGTTTATAATTAAACTGGAGCCTTTGATATTTGAAATTGGCCTGGGTCAGCAAATCGAGCAACACCTCTTGGCGCACAAACAACAATTTCGAGCAATTGAAACGCTGCTTGAATATTATGACCTGAATTGGCGGCCGGGCTGCCTTATTTTCTGATTGATCAAGATGAAATTACACACAGATCAAAACGCTCTCTCTGGATGCATGTTACGTGTTTATATGAACACGCGGAATTTATTATCTCGGCCGGCTAATTTATCTCCGCAGAGGTCACAATCTTCGTATGTATTTCTCTCCTTTTTTTTATTATTGCTGTGCGAAGGCTCGACTCTCTTATTTTTATTTATATATTCCGAGGAGCTGCGCGCGGAGAGAAATGTGTGTGTTTATTTACTGTGCTGTGATTATTTAAGGTGGACGCGGTAATAATCTGTGTTTGCATTACGAATATCTCTCTCTGTAGCGAAACCATTTAAAAAAGAGCGATGCCGAGTTAACGTATAGAAAGTCACGACTCGTCGGATTATGTAAACTGCAATTTTCTTCTGTGCCTGCTCACGACGCTGCTCCGCACTCACAAAGATAGAAAATCGCAATCTAACGTATAATAATAACAAGAGCAGCATCTCCTCAGGTGGGTCAGCGTGGAATTCATTATTCGGGCAACGCGCGCCGCCGCCGCCGCGTGCATGATTAATAAGCATTGAAACCCGAGAGCCGCGGGCATGTGGCTTTTGCAATTACTCGCCCGCGCGACGGAGACCATTTCATTGCCAGCTGATTGAAAGACAACAACAGAGCGCCGGGCAATTTCATTCAGAAATTTAATTGGAAATTACTAAGGGAAAAATTATGGATTGAGCTGTTGAAAGATTATTCTCTATTTTTCTCGTAGTGCAAAAGTAAAAGTTATTATCTGGAGATGAGGATGAAAAAATCATCTGTTATAAATTATAAAGTGTGTTATTTATTGTTTTGTCTTAGAGAGAATAGAGAAGGGAACAATGCATTAATTTTAAATTATTGTTATTATTGTGAATTTATATTGCAATCAAATTTTTCTTGTATTGACAGTAACAATAAAATCAAGATTCAGTTTCAGATTTACCAATGCATCTTTTGAAGTCTGTTTTTATTATTTTAATTTATAAGAATTAACAGAAGTAAACAATAAACTTTTATATAATTCTTTAAAAGCGTCAGCATAAAACGAATTCTGTTGAAATCCACCTTTTTTCAACATTAAAAGAACAGACAATGATCTCCTCTGTTGATATTGAACGAATTGAGTGTCTCTTTTCAGAACTCTCTCTGTCACTGGTCGTGCAGTGTCAAAGAATAAAAAAAAAAGTCAACGACAGTCGCCGATCGCTCTGAGCAAAAAGCGATTTGATCTCTTGGCACCGACACGTCTTTTTATTTGGTTTTTGCGCACTTTCGATGTGAATTCAGCTCCTGCGCTCTCCGGTGCAAAGAAATTTCTCTCTCTTTAACACGCTTGGAATGCCTTCTAGGTTATAAACTACTGCAGCGCAGCAGCTCTCCGAGAATTAAAGCGATAAGGTCAACGGCGCGGCCGGCCGGTCGGCGCAGATAAAGCAGAGAAGTAATGAATGTTGTTTGCTGCGCCGCTCTTATTTAAATACTAATCATAATAGCACTTCTTAGACAATGAGAGAGCTTTTTATTCTCCAATAAGAGAGGCGCACCCACGTTTTCTCTGCACTCGCTTTTCTTACTTGAGAATTATTATTATTATTAAACTGGGAGGAAAGTGCAGCATTATTATACAAGATGCATTTCGGTGTCAATGCGCGGAGGAATTTACGACGAGCGAAAAGACGCGCGATTGATTAATGGCCGAGTCCGAGCATTATGTACTGTGAGCAGCGTTCGCTTGTGTTCCAACTAATGGTCTCTTTTATGTTCAAAGAAATGCTCCAGTGGCGGCTCGCTTTTGATAAAAATGGAAACATAAAAAAATCCTTTATAAATAAATTATAATATATTTTTATTTCATATTAAAAAACGGCTATAAACAATATTTTTATGCTTCTTCAACATTTAAATTAATTAAAATTAATTTTTATATTATATTTAATACACTTGCTAATAAAGAGATTTTAATGTTATATTCATAATTTAACTTTTCACCATTCAAAGAATAACTTCTTTTATAAATATTCACTTTTAATTAATCCTGACATGAACTCTAATCATAGATCTGGACTGATTTTTTTTAGCACATTTTCGTGAAAAATTGATATGGAATTATTCTCTCAAGTTGAATTAATTTGAAATACGAACAAATCTTTCATTTTCCATCTGTCTTACGTGTTTGAAGCGGGCGTGAAAATAATTACAAGAGCAAGTCATAACAGTATCATAGCCCGGGGAGAGATTAATCAAAACACGCTCTCAACTCTGAGGAATAAAAAGAAAGATCTGGCCGCGGTCGATCATCTCGATTGAGCTGGTCAGGTTGAGAATTCCACGCAGATTATCGCACGTATATAATTAATGGATTTTCTGCTGGAGTTGGACATAAAACTCTGCTCCTCATAACATTGACTTACATAATAACGCTAATTTATGCGAGCGCGTCCTCTCGGCGGCGCTGACAAAAAGCAGCTCCGAAAATACCTGTTCTGCCACTTTTAACAGGAAGTTTGATACAAAAAGCGCAGTAGCCATCTCGTCGCTTGCAAAATATTATATATTTTCCCGGCCGTGTGTGCGTGTCCGCAGTGGCAGAAAAGCAGTGCAAATATAATAATATTAGTGTAACAATCCGTGTGCCTCTCTTTTGATAAAAATAAAAAATAATAGAATACAAAAATAAATGCAAGAGGACGCGGAGAGCACAATACGATTTGTGTAGCAGAGAGGCGCATGAAAGTGTGTTCGTGCCAAGTCATCTCCATCGCGAGTGCGCAAAACGCCAATGCTAGGCGCAATAAAATAGAAATTTATAAAATTAATAAATCCTTAAATAAGTTCATTAATTCTCATGAAATTTTCAAGCTTAATACAATAGTTATATCTACTTTTTTTTATATAAAAAAATTGTCAACCGATTTGTATTTCCAATAGTGTTCTTTTTTTTTAATACTTTATAAATTAGTTTA